CGGGGAGAATTCTCCGTTCGACTCCGGAGGAGATTCCGTAGGAACAAGCGGAGGGACGTCAGGAGGGGAGTCCGGGAACAGGGTCGTGACTACTCTGTTGAGGAGTTCCTGTTCCATCTGATCCGTGGCGGGCGGGTGCTGCTTCATCCGGTTGCGGATGAGCTTGAACGGGCGCCCCCACGGATCTCTGTTTAGGTCACTGAGGAACTCCTCCCAGGCCGCTGACTTGGCGGTACAGATGGCATCTCTCAAAGCTTTCTTGGCCTCGTTGTATACCCTTTTGAGCCTTGTCTCCTCTTGCAGATCTCTATGGCTTCTGCGGTGGCTGCGAAGTAACCGTCTCCTCTTGCGTAAGCAGTCTAGCCTCAAGCTCTCCAGTTCCGCTGTCCACCAATATACCTTGTTGCGCTGTTGGTGGCCAGAAGAGCGAGGCATCGACGCGTCGCAGACCTCCTTCAGGGCGCCACCAATGAGGTCAGCCCTTTGATTAGGCTCAGCTGGAATGTTCATCGAGTCCAATGCCCACGCCTGCACAATCGCGGCTTCCTCCGCCAAGGATATATCCAGTTTGGCGAGGGCCCACCGAGGGAAGCGGAAGGTCTCGCCAGCATCACCAGGTTGGCTATTGTTTGCCGGAGGAGTGACCACAAACCGGATGTACCTGTGATCCGAGAGAGTCTCCTCCTCCGTTATGACCTTCCAACCATGCACTCTTGCAGCAAGAGTAGGGGTCGCAAGGGTGAGGTCTACTATCGAGCCTACCGTTTGACCGCGATAGCGCCTCACACAAGTGAACTCGCGACCCCTATTCAGGATCTCCAAGCCGGTGGAGGAGGCCCAATTATAAATAAGGACGCCCTCGAGTGAGTTCCTGGGGGAACCCCAAGCTGTATGCTTGGCGTTAAAGTCCCCCAGGATTAACATTTGGCGAGTCCTAAGGCGACCCACAGCCGCACCGAGTCTGTGTACCCAGTCCTCGTACTCTGAGTACAGGCGAGTGGGCGAGAAATAGACGCCTATAATTGTGACCCCACCCCACGTGATCGCCACGTATCCCGACCCCCTTTCCCAAAGCACAAAGGGGGGGGAGAAAGCGGCCGTGGAGGGAATCACAATTGCAACTGAGTCGTCCGTGTCCGCAACCCAGTTGTTCGATTGCGGCACGTGGTATGGCTCAGCGAAGACCACTAAGTCTACCTTTTCACTGGCAGCGCTCTGGAGGATGAGGTCCTGAGCGCCTGCGCAGTGATTGGTATTGGCTTGGAGGAAGTTGACAGAGAACTTATCCATTAATTGGAATGTCAACTACCTCCATTTCCGCCTCGGGAGTCTCCTTGGAGGTCTCCTTTGGTTCACTGGTTCTGCCCTTGCGGATCGGCTTAGGTTTGATCCTAGGCATAGGGCAGTTCCTTCCTCCCATGGCATGCTTGTGCTTAAGGCCTGCTTCCTCACATATGGCGCACTTGGGAACGGCTGTACATGAGGCAGCTTTATGACCAGGAGCACTGCAATTGAAGCATAGCGTGCTCCTGTCATTTTCACTAGGGCTGGTCGCTCTTGTGTGTCCGACGCGCAAGCACTTAAAGCATTTAAGTGGACGGGGTTCTAGTATGCGCACTCGGACACTGCTCCAGCCTATGAGGAGCCTACCAGCGTCAGCCACCGACTTGGCCGCCGCGATGGGGCATTGAGCAATAGTGGTGTAGAGGCCTCCAGGTCCCACCCCAAATGCACCAACCTTGATCTGCTCCACAGGGCAATTGCCCTGTTTGGAAATTGCTTCTGCAACATCCTCAGCCACCACCGAATCATCGAGGTCCGTAATGCGCACTCCGACGCACATTACAGGTCTCGACACCTTAGCCACCCCATCTAGTGCCGAGGCGAGCTGAGATTTCAGGAGGTTGACCTTTTCATCTGGGACGCCCTTCGGAAGTTCTAGTTTCCTGGCTCCCGTGGCTGTGACTCTGATACGTAGTCCTTTGGGGTCTATTCCCAGGCTACTAAGGTCTACCTCCTTTTTCGCCTTTGCGATAACTTGGGCGTAGGTTTTACCCGCCTCTTTACACTCTTCGCCCCCGATGTCTACGATCACCACGTCAGTCTTGGGGGCCTTGATCTTCTTCTTTTTCGGGGGCTTCTTCTTCTTTTTGGCAGGAGTAGCTCCCGATGGGGATTTCTTCTTTGACAGAGGAGGAGATGGATTCACAGCAGCAGCGGCAGCAGTAGCCATCTTTCTCCTCTTGTTTCTGCTGACCACTTTCACCCATTCCCCTCGCTCAGGTTGGTTGCTGGATGTTTGTGGTGTGACATCGGCTGTGTCTGGGGTCGTCCGATTAGGTACTCCTTTGGGATTCCCTTTCGACTTCTTCCTCGGTTTCTCCTTTGACAAGGAGGGGGGTGGAGGATGCTTCGCCTGTTGAGTGATCTTGCCAGGCCCGTCCTTACTGTTACCTCCCTTAGTTTTCGAGGCCTGTTTCCTCTGTGTAGAAGTGTTCGTGCTTTTGCCTGAAGGTGGTACATCTCCCGTTATGCCTTCGCGGGAAGGTCTGGCAAGTTCGCGGGCTATGATCCTCTCAGGCGTGTCCGTAGACAAGGGAGGCCGAAGAGGGTTAAGCACATTTAACCGCTCCTCGAAGCGTCTGAGCTTCTCGTCCATGAAAGAGCCCAGTGAACCCATCAGGAAACTGACTACTTCCTTAGATACTGGTCCTTTTGAGAGGGAGGGGCTCGCATTTGTGCCATCCTCCGTCTCCGAGCTATCTTCAACGTTTGTGATATGGGGTCTCTTATGTCTTTGCCTCGACAGCCCCTTCTTATTCAGCAAAACGTCTTTCTCAGCTCTCTCCCTCTTAAGTGCGGCGAGCTCTCGCTTTATGCTCTCCAGCTCACCACTCATCCTGGCGTTGTCAGCTTTTAATCGACGGATTACCTCGTTCTCCGTCATTTCAGCGGCCTTCGCCCAGAGTCTTCTGAGAGCATCAGTGGACTCCCTAAACTCCTTCCTCACTGTGCCCTTGAGATTGCTGGACTTTTTGTACTGAGCCGTGATGTTGTCAATCAATGAGATTGCCTTGGTGTGTATCTCTGCTACAGTCGATTCCTCAGCCTGGTTTAGGACGTCGGCTGCGCAGCCTTCGTCTATTTCCATGTCCGAGTCATTTGAGTCACCTCTTGACTCAGCAGCAGCTCGGTTCCTCATCTTGTCTTTGGCCGCTCCTATGCCACTATAATGTTCTTTTGTGGCACGCTTCGGTTTTGGATCCTGCGAAGAGGGGGTTATCCCCTCTGGCATTGCCGTCGGTAGCGGAATAGGTGGTTGTCGGTCCAGGTCAATTGGTGACAACTCTCTTATGAATTGGGCTACATTCTCAGGAGGAGTGGGAGATGTAGTCGTTAGGTTCTCGTTCGAACTACACTCTATTGCCATCCTCTTGCGATCCGAACCAGTGACAGTCTTAGAGCTGTCATCACTGTCCTTGCCCGAGTCCGAGCCCGAGTGCTCCCTCTTCGATGCAGAGCCTGAACCAGGCACAGTCAGTCCAAGGGACGCGTCGGAGACAATAGAAGAATTCGATCCTCCAATGCGAGATTTCCTTAAACCGCTGCTGTCAAGATCGGGTTTCGCAGCGCCACTCTCTCCTTCATCAGCTGTGCTCAGGGATGTAGATGGGCCAGCTCCACTTCCGTCCGATTGTGTCAGAGTGGGCGTCTCGAGATCTGACATTGATTGCGCTCTGGTGGACGAGCGCGTTACTCTCTTTTGTGGTGATGGCGATGGTGAACGAGAAGAGAGCAGAGCAGGGGAACGATCCCTTGACTCTGAGTCACCATCTGAAGCGATTGTTGACGAGGACAAGCTACGCCTTCCATCTCGCAACAATTCCGCAGTCTTGGCCGGGTAAGGCTGATCTCTGGCAGGGCCCCTGGAGGTTCTGCTAGCAGCAACTTTGCCTCGGTTTATGCCTCTGCGTTGCGATTCCCTCAGAGAGGGATTTGGTGCAACTGGAGAGGGTGCCAGAAATTCTGTAGAATTTGTCCGCTCTTGGCTCTGAGAAGAGCTCGCGTCACTCCGCGCTACACCGCCCGCGCAGGGCTCATCTCCTCCGTTCGGAGATTCCACTACAGCAACACTACGCTCACTTCCGGTCGAGCTAGACCCCCCTAATACGACAGAGCATGGTTTTATAATTTTTTAAAAGATTCCATTTTGTTCCCACGAGTATGGCCAGAAAATAGTCCACCCGAACAGAGCTGCCTTGTCCGGGTAAGGCTAGGGTTGTGAAGGTGAGGGTCGCCCGTTCCCCACCTCCAGAGGACGCGTCGCGACTGGGAAAAGCCCCCAGCCACAAACCCCTCGGCCGCGTCTACCTTGGGCTGGCTGATTTTTTATTGAGGTTGTCTCCTCTTGAGGCCACCCAACTAAGGGCAGCCCCCGCCCCGGCCCCACAGCAGTGGGGTAACGGGGTCGGCCGGTGGTTGCTGAAAGTCAGCACCCGCCGCTCATGACCACCATGAGACAGCGAGCCCACCGCCCTCGCTGGCACGGCCGCTTCCCGGGATGCCCAGGGCGCCCGTCCAGCCCGAACCGCGCCGCCGCTGCCCGACTTACCGTCGGGGCGCCGGCCCGGAGCCCACACTGCGAGACTTCTCGCACACGGAGGCAGAACTCCGTTTGCCCACTCGTATTCTGACATCAGCCGTGGCGGCTCAAAGATGCTTTGAGCGGCCACGTTGCCCGGGGTGCACCGCGAGGAGGTTGTCAGACATCGCACCCCAACTAAATCTAACCTAACCTAACTAGCTAAGCTAACTTAAATGCAAATTAACTGGGTGTAACTAATTTAAGATAAAATCTAACCTATGTAACTAGCTTAGCTAACTTAGGTAAATGCAAACTAATTTCTTGTACAAATAAAATAAAATCTAACCTACGTATTTACGTAGGTGTGTACCTTTGTTTTTGCTTCGTGGTGTGTACCTACAGTATTGCTTGAATGATGGATGCGGGTGGTTATGGTAAATAAAATGTAAAATCCTTGTTTGTTTGATAAATAGTGAATAGGTATTAAAAATTACAACATCTGCGTTGTCATTATGCACTGTCTATTTTAATCAATTTTAATAAAAGGTTGTTTGGTATTGCGCTATAGATATAGGTTTGTTATATTGCAAGCTATAGGTTTGTTAATTTGTTTAATGGGTTTGGGTTGTCCTTGTTTCAATATAGCATTTTGCATGTGGTTGTTGCATCTTTCTATTAAACTTGTTTCAGGGCTAAAATAAAATCTTACGTCAAAACTGTCAGTACAGGCAATCTTATCAAACATTTAAGAGATTTCCATAATTTAAAAGAAGAAAGTTCTGGTAAAGCTACAAGAAATATCGAGCAGTTTTTTCAAATACAACCACGCCGCTCACAAACAACAGTTGGAACTCCAAGCAGCTCATTGATAAAAAATAAAGATTCATGGTTACTTGCACGAGATATGGCTCTCTGGTTTTGCAAGTCTTTAATGCCGTTCGATTCGGTATCAGATGAAGGCATGAACGATTTTTTCCAAGTAAGTTTATAGAGTTACTTTAAGTAAAACTTTGATTTGCTATTTTGTATATTTAATATACCTACTCAAATAATTCGATTATTATTTTAGAAATATGACATCATCAGTTGTAAAGAAGATATGCCCTCTAGAGACACAGTGTCTCGCACTGCTCTCGACGATGTCTATGAAAGTATGCTGGAGAATGTGAAAGTTCAAATCAAAACAGATGCGGCTGGACATGCCGCTATCACGTTTGATTTGTGGACTGATCAGTATAGACATCTGAGCTACATAACGTTCACTCTTCATTACTTAACTGCTGGTAAGTCGTGTAACTCTATTAAACATTTATAATTATTAATGTTATCTATTATTATTTTCCTAATTAACCATTAATTAATCTTACTTATGTTACAGATTTTGAGTTAAAATCATTCACGTTGTGCACTAAGCTTATCGAGGGCAAAAAGACGGGAGCTAAAATTCAAGAAACATTAAACGAGACAAAAGAGTGCTTTGATCTCCAGGAAAAAGTACTCCACTCCGTGACGGATGCAGGGTCAAATGTTAAACGCGCCATTTCGCTTGCCCCACTGGACAGCCATTTGTGCTTAGGGCACGCATTGCACAACCTGGTAACTGTAGACGGTATTGGCAGTGTTCCTGAATTAGCAGATTTAATAAAAAAGTGTAAAAAGATTGTGAAAACCGTTCGTTATCGTTTACCGGACTTGGAGCGAGAGGCAGAAAAAGAACAGATTCAATTTCTACAGTCTCTAGAGCGCGTATCAGAACATTTGGAAATGGATGAAAATGAGCCAATTATTGATGATGAGGTGTCGGATTCACATTCAGTTTCAGGACTACAAACGAACAGCGATGAATTTGGTAGCATAAACCATGTGCCAAGTATCAAAACTTCGTCGCCAACCCGTTGGCATAGTATGCTAGCTATGCTAGAAAGTCTAGCACACTTTTGCAACAGAAATCCTGTTAATAATTTATTAGCACAAGTCAATCAACATGATTTAAAAATTTACCAACAGGAGTGGAACTTGTTAGAAGATCTTATTCGGTTTCTACGTAAATTCCGTGAAGTAGTGGAAATGCTATCGACACAAAAAACAGCTTCGCTTAATTTGGCCCTTGTGTTTCGTTTGGAAATCAGAGATATCCTCAATTCTTTATCAGACGAAGAAACGCTAATAATGCTATCACTGAAAAATAAAATGTTGGCAAAATTAGACAAACGATTCCCAATCACTGATAAAATTGTTGTTTCGGCATTGTTGGATCCTCGTTTTATAAGCTTGAGTCAGATTGATTCGTACCTTGAATAAAAAAATACTACTCGTGCTGCATTTCTGGCAGAGTACATAAAAATACAGCCCAATATTTCAAATCATTCCACGATGGTGGCTACATCACCTCCTGCTGTTCTTGCTAGTACTTCTAATGAATCTATTTTGTCAAAGCTTTCCAAGAAACACAGCAGCAGCAGCACTAGCTCTATTTTAACTTCTGTTGAGTTTAATGAAGTTGATCAAGAATGCTGGAGGTACTTGGCAGCTGCTAATGCTAGTGACGTTGTAGACGACGATGTCCTACAGTATTGGCGAAATAAATCAAAAACATTTCCTCACTTGAGCCAACTGGCAAGGGCTATTCTGGCAATCCCTGCTACCAGTACGCCTAGCGAGCGCGTTTTTTCTATAGCGGGACTTACTGTAACAGCTAAAAGGTCTAGGCTTAACCCAGTGCGCGTAAATAAAATAATTTTTATTCACGACAACTATACATTGTGCAAAAACGATTTAAATGCATAATTTTCTTTTAATGTTTTCTTTTCCACGAGTTGTTGAATTTTAAGTTCCTATCTAGCTATATGTTTTATTTATTACTCCTTCATTTAAAAGAAATATTGTTAAAAAAATAAGACCTTTTGGTCCTTTTTGGGGTGGTTGGGATCTACCTCCTAGCGGTCCACCCTGGGCAACGGCTCCACTTTTGTGGAGACGGCTAAAGATCCCAACGCGGGGTAGTAGGACCTGCGAAGGTCCGCCTGGGTCGCAACTACCCTTCCACCGGAGTCTGGCGCCATAACAGCTTGCTGTGTTCCGTCTTTGCGTGGAAGATCCAGTGCCTTAGGGCAATCTCCAGGTAAGCTCGCTCCATCTTAGGCCTCATCATTGCTGACGCGGCACGGCAGGTCTGCATGACTGAGGCCAAGAGCTTACCTGTAATAAGTAAAAAAAAAAAAAAAAAGACCAAAGCGCCGGCGCGGCGCCGCCACGCCGACCATAACAAGTCGGCGCGCCGCCGCCGGGAAATTTTTGCCCGGCGCGCATGTCTAATATGGTTACAGAAAGCCTCATGTTATTTCAAATGTTACATAAAACTGAGCTGCGGCTAAGCTCAATTTTATGTAATTTTTTAAAATTAAAAATAATTCAGAATAAAATCTTATAAACAGTATATTTACCTGTTTAATTTGATATTCCTTTAAACATATGATGTAATAATCCTTTATAATATTATAATCTCCAAATAAAAAAGTGAGTAATACTTATGTCAGAAAAAAAATATTCATAATTATAATTTTTTAATTAAGATTATTATTTGATCATATTTTCTTTTTAATGTTATTGATAAAATTTACACCCCTGTCTTCATAAATTGTTATCTCTCTCTCTCCATCCCATGATTGCCTGGAAGAAATCACTTTAAGCGATAAGGCCGCCAATTGTTACATTATTTTGTTAAACTGTTTTAAATTTGTATACCTATATAACTTGTGTAATGTTAACAATAAAGAATTTTCTATTCTATTCTCTATAATGGTATTATTAATATAGTTTTGGTGAACTTCCTAAACATAAATGAGCATATGCTCACTAGTAATGCAAGTAATTCTTAAATTCACAAAACCTGCTGGTTATCTGGTAGTTAAATTGGTTTTAGCAGACGCCCAGACTGTGAGTGTTTATGGGTTTAAATCCCACCTCAAGCACTAATTGCTTGAAGTGGGTTTTTTAATTATTTTCCTTTAAGATAAATATCGATATAGTATTGCAAATGCAAAAGTGATCAGAAAAAATAATGATAAATGAATTAATTTGTAAACAAGGACTTTTTCAGTGCCATTTACACACTTTTAAGTTTTCCTGTAAAAATACTACAATAGTTTACTTTTTTCAATACAAAATATTCAAAAATTCATGTTTTTATAATCATAGATAAGTTTACTTAAAGCCAAAAGCCCCTACAATCTAATAATGATTTTTACGATGTTCCTATTTACAATGATTGTTTATAATTATGTAAAGTTTTAACAGAAATATAATTTTTCAATTTTAATTTACATTACATGCCTCAACTAGGTGGACCTTATTTATGTTAAGAATCTACATAATATGAATTCAACATTTCAAATTCATAGAGGAATGAAAACCTATTAATTTATCTATAAAATGTAAGTTTTTAATAAAAAATAAAAATTTAAGATTAATAATCAAGATATAATTTATTTTATTTTTAAAGTCTGCCAACATTTTTACATATCAATAAGCAACCACAAAATTACAGAACTATCTATAACAAATAGATGAAATGGTGTACATAAAAAGTTTATTAAACACTATCACACTTGTTTATCTAGCTCCATAGTTTTCGATTTCATTTTTTTTTACTAATCATTTTACATAATTTATATCACATGGATTGCTATGTTCTCATGAGGTAGATGAGGAATCTGGTGTTTGATACCCAGATTTTGTATATTTACTTCGGACGTCAGGGTGCTCATTGAAAGTATCCTTGTATCTTTGTGAAATAAATAATATTGGATAGAAAATTTTATATGCTTGAAGTGCTAGACAGTTAAAGATTAAAATTTTTTGGTACCTTAATATAAGGTATTTTTATAAATAATTAATGATAAAGCAAACATATCAATGGATTTACACAACTTATTATGTTCTTTACAGTCTATTGATAACTCACTCACAAACTCTTAAAATGTAGGAATTAAAAGTCACAGTGGATTGGAGTATTTAATATATTTCACGTTGTAAATACATAAAAGTCAGATGAGAGTAAAGAAGAGAGTGACATAAAAACAAAAAACAGTGTATAAAATACTAATTCAAAAAGGTATACGAAAAGATGCCAGTGTCTGATTAATATAGAAAAAGGTTTTATCTACACCTCCCCGTAATCAGGACACTTATGTACACCCTTTATATAAACACACTGTATGTACAAAAACAATATCAAAAGTACCTTAACATGATGCCCTAATCTAATTAACCTAATAACACAAAACAAATAACACTAAACTAATCCTAAATTAGTTAGGCACATATAGTGTCTCAGCTTAGGCAGTGGCTTTGTGAGAATGTCTGCTGTTTGGTGAGCTGATGGTATGAATGACACATTGACTTGTTTAGTGGATATAGACTCACAAACAAAATGATGTCTAATATCAATATGTTTTGTGCGGGCGTGATGCGTGTTGATTTTTGTTAATTTGATGGCACTTTGATTGTCACAATTAATGGTGATGGGTGACGAAAAGCAAAAGATGTCGCTTAGTAATGAGCGAATGTAGATGGCTTCCTTACAGGCTTCACTTAGAGCCATGTACTCAGCTTCTGTTGTTGATGTTGCAACGGTTCTCTGTTTACGTGATTCCCATGACACTGCCGATCCACACATTTGGAAAACATATCCTGTATAGGATCGTCTGTCCACCAGATTACCACCATGATCGGCATCAGCAAATCCGATTAGATCACCACTATTGTTATAGGTCAGTTTCCTATTTTTATAGCCTTCAGGTACTGATGAACACGTTTCGCAGCTCTCCAATGTACCGAGATAAAACTTCTTCTATACAAACACTACAAATACCTATGTTTGCCGAAGTTACTTTTGTAGGGCAAAATGTTTTTAATTATCAATTCTGAAGATGGATCAAGGCATTTTATTTCACTCAGCAATTGGGGGTACCTAATTGCACCTCTTAAAATTTTAAATAATATAAATTGTTTCACATCTATCATTAAACGCTAACTATCGATCGTCAAAAAGTAGAAATTTGCAACTTTTTAGAAATCGTTAATTTTGACAGATGAAACGTTCGGATTTAGTAACGTTTCAGTAGCGTTTCGATCCAACGAAGTGTCAAAATTTTAGTGGAATAAGGGCCGACGGGCCGACGATCGACTCAAGTATATGGACGTAGTTATGCAAACCAGCCACATGATGTCAGTTTTGAGAAAAATGGGTTTCTTGTTTTTAGTAATAATAGTTTGTAGAATATATTTTATTTTATTTATTTACAAGAAATTTTGTGAATTTACAACATTTGAGTTTAATTGCAACACTTTTAGGCTTCTCTGCACATAATTCGATTTTGACAGATTTGTGGGTTGGTTCCGGTTTGCATAACTACATCTGTATAGTTCTATGTTCGATTGAGCGAGTAGAATACTGTTTACAGTTTCTGTTGATCGTTAGCTAAACTAAAATAGAACCGGAACTGTATCGTTTGACGCCATTTTGACACCGAGTAGAATAGGAAAACCACTAAAAGTTGTAGTTTCGTTCGGTTTCGTTCCGTTTTCGATTCGATTTAAACAAAATTTATTTAGTAGAATTGGCCCCCAGTACCCAAATTTGTCTTCCTTTACACCTGTCACTTACACACCTCCTGCTACAAATATACAAACAATGACTTTCATACCCCCACCTACTACAAATACACAAACTTTCATACCTTCCAATACAATCACAAACGCAGTCACTTATACACCTCCTACTACAAATACACAAACAACGACAAATACACAAACAATAACTTTCATACCTTCCAGTACAAACACAAACACAGTCACTTACACATTTCCTTACTCGTCATCCCAATCAGATTCTACCGTCCCCGAAGAAGATTTGTTGAACAAAGCATGGAAAACGTGTTAAAGCTAAGAATATAAATTTTGTTAAAATAAACAATAAATACTTGATCTTACTAATAATTACTGGTTTACTTTACTTACCCGCATATAATCCTTCAGAGCATTGTATATAGCATCGCACACTTCAGGTAAAAAAGAGCTATCGTAGATCTTGCAACTCTATGAAGTGCTTCTAATGTGTATAATGAATCTCCAGTTGCTAGATACCTCAATGTCACTACCAATTTCACTTTTGGTGGAATAGCATTTCGCATGTGTGTATCTTGTTTCTTTATAGCGCTTTCAATTTTAGATAGTAACCAGTCAAACTGATGCGGTAACATGCGCAAATGATTTTTGTAACCATTAATATCTTCTTCTCG